GGTTTGGGCTGGCTGTTCATATGAGGAGAAAATTTGAAAAATAAATATTTTGGTCAAAAGTAACTTCATGGGTGTTTTGGATATTTTTATGCCTCTTTTTTAGAGGATTCTAACAAAGGGGGTCTACTTTTACTATGTTAGAAAGTTTAGACGAGATTATTGCAATTACCAAACTTTAGGGGAGGTTTCAGAAATTTATCCAAATTCTTATAGAACTTTGTGCTAAGAAATTTCCCTCTAACTTTCTCTATTTTTTTTCTTATTTTCTACCAAACGAAACACAACTTTCCTTGCATCATTTCAAGCATGGTTTTAAAAAATGAACTGAAAACAGAACTGTTCTCGCCACTAGTTTTTGGGTTGACGGTTCAACCGTTTGGATTGTTGACTAATCCAACAATTTTTAAAATAAACAAATGGCCAAAAACCATTAAACGGCTCAATAGGTCAATGGTTCAACTGCCCAGGTCAATGGATCATTGACTAATCCAATGATTTTTAGCCAAAGACTAGATTTGGGATAAAACGGAACCAGCTGCAGACGGTTCCTGGGCCAAACGGTCCAACCGTCTGGATCAACGGCAGTTCAAAAACCATGGCTTCAAGTATAACATATATACTCAAAGTTTTTGTGTTTTCCTTTCTTTTCACAAGTTTGCTCTCATTTCACATTAACAATGAAGCTAATATCTTGGATTACAGTAGTTGAATTACAAATAGGGTTTTTTTCCAATCCCCTAAGAAGATATAAGTTTATTAACTGCGTAAATTCCAAGAGGCAGCATGGCTACAATTAACCAATTCTAAGTTGGTTAATGGTGTTGGATTAAAGTGTCATTTTCTCGAAATTCAGGTATTGCAATGGCACATTTTAAAGCTTTGAGTACTAAAATGAGACTATCCCAAAGTACAAGGTCCTAATATACAATTTACCCTAGTTTTTATTGAAAGAATGTGAGTTTATTATTGCAAAAAAAAAAAGAAAAAAAAGGTTTTGGGAGTACTTGGACTCCAAAATCATGGACTTTGAAATGTTTGTTGCATGCATGTGGATCATGTATAGAAGCTTGAAGTAAAATAATGGCAATGGTATAACAAGGCCTCATTCTTTTACATTGAGGAAGAGGTTGGGGGGTTAGTTATGGGTGGATTCGAGCCAGGCCGAACCTCATTCGATCTCGGCTTGCCAAGGTAACAAGGCTTGAGCTCGAGCTCGAGCTCAGTTTGAGCTAGAACCTTGAGCTCGAGCTCGACTCAAGTCAAAAGCTCGTAAACTCGAGCTTGGCTTGGCTCAAGCTCGACTTGAGAAAAAATGTTTTATAAAAATAAATATATATAATATTTTTTATTTGATATTTAAAAATTTAAGAATTATAATAGTTAGTTATTATATATATATATATATTATTTTCTATAATTTTATTATTATTATTATTATTATTATTATTATTATTATTATTATTATTATTATTATTATTATTATATGTATGTATGTAGCTATTCGAGCCGAGCTTTATTAGGCTTGAGCTCGGCTCAATTAATAAACGAGCCCAAGGTACTAAATATCGACATGGGCCAATATGTGTCGGTGCTTTTTTTTTTATATTTCACTTATTTCTTTTGAAATCGGTTCAGAGGGGCCAGTTTAAGGCCCGGCTACCCTTTGAACCAATGGCTAACCTGATACAACCTCTATAGGGGCATATTGGGAAGCCACCGGCACAATACGTATTGGCTGATATGGGCCGATACGTATCAATACTTTGAACCTTCTGTAAATTGGGCTCGACTCAGTTTGAACGAACTGAGCTCGAATAACTCATAAAGAGCTCGGCTCGTGACCAACCCTAAGTTTGGTATTTTAGACCAATTTTATGGGCGAGTGTTACCCTTCTCCCGGATGGGTAAATTTCCCATGAAGGGGGAAAATCGGCCAAACTATTGTGAGATTAAAATGCCCCTTCCAACACATAAAATCAAGGGTTCTTTTGAAGAATTATCTCACTTATCCAACTAGCATTTTCTAATATAAGAACATGGATAAATATATTTATCCGGCTAAAGCTTGCTCAAGTAAATACATTTACCGGAGAATATATATACAAGAACAATATTTAATTTAAAGATTCCTTAAGCATCAATTTAGCAACTCTACATATCATCCAACTTTGGAGAGAAAGTGATTTAAGCATAGATGATCATGGAAGGGGAGAGGTCTTAAGCAAAGCTCTCACATATACAAAGTTGTGAAATCAACAAATTCAACACATAATTATCTTGGTGACTGTTCTGGAAACTAGAAAGAGCTGGAAGTAGATTTTTAGAAATTTAGGAATTTGGACAAAATTGTTTGAGAACTTTTCTACTGTAATAAAATTTTTACATTCATGTTTTTCATTGTTCTAATTTTGACATGAAATCCCAAATTTTTGGGTGAAATAAATATCAAATTTTCATTCGACAAAGTTCCCTTAAAATCATGATGGAAACATTCAGAAGAGAATGATAGTGGCAAGATGCGTAGTAATAGGCTTATAGGTCCACCCACGGAGAGGAGAGGATGACACATCTCAAGAAATAATCTAAAAATTATGTATGTAAACAGTGCAATGCCATTAACTCCTCAGAAGCTGAGCTCTGGACAATCATTCGAGGCCCGATAAGACTTATCTTGTTGGGTATCAATCATGTTATCATTTTGTCTGATGCGAAGGAGATCCTGTAGAAACTCAAGGAAACCAGAGTAGACACAAGGGGGAATGAACAGGCGCTGATTGAGCATATCAAATTCCTTTTCTCTTTTTTTGAAAAAATTAAAATTATATATAAGCAAACAGGAATGATGTAGGCCCAACTCACGATATAGCAAAAAGGGCCAATGTAAATAGATCTTACATTCTAACCCCTAGACCCCTCCCCCCGAGACACAGCTCATACCTCAACATGAGGGGTCTTCTTTTGTATCCTTAGCTTTTTTTCTGTGCAATGGATCTTTTTGCTTACAAAAGAAAAAAAAAAGAAATAATATAAAAAGCTAGGTAATTAAGGCTCTGTTTGGTTAAGCTTTATAAGAAGTAATCTAAAAAGCTTCGCAAGTAATGCTCTATTTGGTTAAGTATGTGATTTTGAATTTTGGGGTGTGAAAGAATTTAGCCAAAAAGATGTTTTGAGCATTTGGGCTTTAAAAGCACAAACCCAAAAGCCTGTCCAAACACAACCAAAGAAAATTTGAGAGAATCACCTATTGTCACTACCCTTTTGCTCTACCCACCCCACGCCAAACCTAGATATAGAACCTAAGCTCAAGCCCATAAATTTCCTGAACAACTCAGGAAGCTATCTCATCCTTTCAAGGTTTCTATGCTTCAAACATGGGACAAGTAGAAAGCTATGAGGACCCTAAAACCCTCCACATGGACCTCCCGCCCTAAACCCTAGTTTTAAAAAAGCAAAAGTAAATAAATGAATAAATAAATAGAACCTTGATATTGACTACAATCCAAAAAACATTCCCTTGGGGTTAGGGCCTTTGCTTTGAGCCTTTGACAGGAACTTTGCCTTAAAAAGAGAATCAAATTGATGCAACACACTACCTGAAGAAGGGGATCTTTTACCTACAAAGACACTACCTGGGTCAATTAATTCATGATGAACAATCCAATTTAGAGCTATAAATGTATCGGATCAATTTTAGATAAGGGTATTATCTGTCAAGTGGTTTATGAGGCTCAGTTTGTAAGGAGTACAAATGTAAATATGTAGAGTGCAAAATCTTGTATTTTACATTGCTCAGTTTGGAAGGAATACAAATGCAAATATGTGGAGTGCAAAACCTTGTATTTTATATTAGTTTGTATGTATTTGTACCGTACATATTTGCACTTATACTTGTACTCTTTCCAAACTGAGCTTGATGAACAGTCTAATTAGAGTGTCTCGCATCAATTTTAGATAAGGGTGTTATCTGTAACCAATCTGATGAGAATAAGATATATCTGAACTTGATTTGATATCCCTTAGATATGCAAAATAAATGGCCATTTATTAAAACACCTTGTATAGTTTTATGGATTTACTAAAACTTACTTTATGGTTTGTGTTTTACTAAATTAACACCCTTATAATTTGCAACTATTTATTTAATCAATCTTCCAATTAGATCACAGTGGAAAATGATAATTTTGATCCTAATGTCTATTTGAATAAATTAATCAAAGAAAATAAAAATGAAAAATATCAGCTTTACCCCTAATAAGACACCAACGATTACTCCATTTGGCTCTACTTGGTCAATTTTGTTTTCTGTATGAAGAAATCTTAGGGGTACTTCTAGAATAAACAATTATGGGCCAATGCCCTGGGATATTTTCCACTTATTTAGGTGATCATGTTACTATTTATAGATGACAAAACAAATACATCTTAGTGAAAGGTCAATTTAGTATATAGATTGCAAACTATAGGGGTGTTTTAGTAAATTGATAACTATATATATGTAGGATAGGTTCAAGTAAATCTGTGAAACTATAGGGGTGTTCTAGTAAATGATCACAAAATAAAAATGGAGATTTGATTCAACCAAAATGTCAACAAATTTATATAAAATTGCAATAAACTTACAAAATTAATTATAAGATAATAATATATACTATAAAAGAAAAAGCTCCTGCTTGGTTCGCAATCAGAATCAAAATCAAGTAGAATCGAAATGGTCTATTCTCATAGTATGTTTAGTTCAAGTAGGAATCATAATCGAAATTAGAATAAGCTGAAATAGGATTTCATTCCCAAGGGAGGGGACCCTCAAATGAGGGAATGCCATTCTAGCAGAAATGGAAATAGAATTCCAATTCCAATCAACCAAACAGTTAGAATCGGAGTGGGAATCGGAGTGGGTCATTCCAATTCCGATCCAGACCCCTATTCTGAGAACCAAACGGGTAAGTTTATCTAAATTCCAAATTCCACTTATTAGCTAAAGTGTTTGGATGTTCACTTCTGTATAAAAAATACCAAAGGATTCAGCTTATTAGGGACCAAAATAAAAGGAGATAACACATCTTGGATCGAAATCCAATGTAATAGAATTTACATAAAGATGAAGCAGAAATAATATGTGATCCACTCAGCTCTTCAAGCGGACCCAAGTGTATATATCACATAAACCACAAAGGCCAACAGCACTAGAAGAGCCGCAACCAAGTTGGCGATCATGTGTCTATGCTCCTCCACTCCCATAAGCGGCTGATGACGACCACTCTCAGCAGCAGCACCACCACCACCGCCACTACCAGTCACTTTTTCAGCTTTCGGTGCTCTTGCTTCATGGGCAACCTTCCTATTGTCAGATGATGGCCCAGAACCCCCTTCTTTCTCACTAGTCTTCCCATTCTCCTTCAGCCTTTTATGATCATCAGCTTTGGCTGCTGTAGCAGCTTCTTCATGAATATGACCTTTATGCTTGTCCAGCCCTGGCTCTTCTGCTGGTTTATAAGCAATTCTCGGTGATTCTGGGGGGCTTGGTTTTGGCTGTTTTTTGGGTTCTGGCTCGGTTACTGGCTTATGACTTGATTGTTCTTCTTGGGAGGTTGGTTTAGGCAGCGTTTTGTGTTCTGGCTCTTTTGCTGGTTCAGTAGTACTCGTCGATGATTCTGGGAGGCTTCGTCTAGGCTTTATTCTGAGTACTGGCTCGGCTGCAGGCTTATGACTTGATGGTTCTTGGGGAGTTGGTTTAGGCTGTTCTCTGGGTTCTTCCTGAGAGGTTGGTTTAGGCTGCTTTTTGGGTTGTGGCTCTTTTGCTGGTTTATAAGTACTCGCCACTGATTCTTGGGGGGCGCTTGGTCTAGGCCTTATTCTGAGTTCTGGCTCGGCTGCAGGTTTATGACTTGATGGTTCTTCCTGGGGGGTTGGCTTTGGCTGTTTTCTGGGTTCAGGCTCGACTGCAGGCTTATGACTTAATGATTCTTCTGGGGAGGTTGGTTTAGGCTGTTTTCTGGGTTCTGGCTCGACTGTGGATTTATGGCTGGGCTGTTCTTCTGGTGTTGGTTTAATCTGCTCTTGTGGCTTGGCTGGAGTCAATGTCGTCTTTGGAATTATGATGGAAAGTTTGAGGGAATCGAACTTTGCATTGATGCCACTGGCAATGCAATTTTCAGGAAGACGAAGCTCCTTGCTGAAGCGACTCCATTTGTTGTCTCCCAGCTGCCGCTCTCCGGTGATCTTCAGGTTTCCATGGCCATCGAGTTCGACTTTTAATTGATCCTTTGTGAAACCTGCAAGAGCAAGAGATGAATCATGTGGCTCAGTTGATAAAAAAAGTAGGAAATAAACTCTTGAATCTTGATGCATAAGAATAGTTTTCTCTTTGACTGGTTCCATGAATGGACCATTTCCACCATCTCTGAATCTGGGGTTGAATTGATTGATTTGACCCACTAAGCAATTAATTAAGATCACTCAAACCAGTTAACCAACTGCTTGAGTTTGTCTTCGACTCAATTCCCAGTTTAATCGAACCCGGGTAGATCCAAACCGGACCTGATAAAAATGTGGAGAAGGAGAACCAGTTCCAAACTAGACCCTATTTGGATATGTAATCGGGACTAATGGGTTTGATCCGATAAGAAAAACCTGCAGTTAACCCAACCAATCGGTATATATATTTATTTATATTATATATAAATTATTTATAATATTGCTAGTAACTCCATACAAGAAAAAAAGAAAAGAGAGAGAGACAAACCTGGAAGATAAACATCGTATTGTTTAGATTTATCAACTTCTTTGGATTCTATCAGGGGCTGGAAATCTTGGTACACGCGAGGGGCAGAAGTTTGTGACCTTCTGTTCATTGTTGGAGCTCTAATTTCTTTACTTGTCTCTTTTTATTTTCTTGTATTAATTGAGCATCAATGATCAAGGTGTACAATGAAAAGGAAAGCTCCTGTAAGTGGGTTTTATAAGGGTAGATGGAATGGAACATTGTGGAGTTCCTTCCATATGAAAGTATTCTTTTTGGTTGCTTGGGGTTTATGCCGTTTAAAGGTTTTATTTTATCATTTTGAGATTGTGCTTCATGCAGAGGTCAATAAGATTCTTGTTTCCCTTCCACTCTTCAAAGAGTGTGTGCTGGTTGGATGTGCTTGAGCCTTCCAGATTCCCAGATGAAATGTTCTTCTTGGAGTCCTATACTTTTTTTTGGGGTAAATTGCAGAGAATTCTTCTGAAGTTTGGTACTTGCAATCACCTCTCTTTAACTGTTACAGTTACAAGTAGACCTCTTCTGTTATAGTCTCTTAAGAATTTATGAAAATGCTTAAAATACCCATGAAGTTACTATTGAGGCTGGTCGGTTTTTTCTACGGAAAACAATACAAACTTTACGAACAACAAAAAGGAGAATTTATAAATTGTGGCAGACCTTTGAGTGGTTGATATGAAGGGAAAATTTTGCAATGCTCAGAGAACTGAACCAGTATATTTTACAACTTTTAGTATATTTAAATATGGTGGATGAATGGATGGTTTAAAGCAATTGACCAAGGTTCAAGTCTCTTAATTTACATTTTCTTTAAAATACATGTAGTAAAATAATATATACAATAAAGAGTCATTAAATAGAATAAGAGCTAGATTAATGGTAATTAAGTAATATATGAAAATAAGAGGTAATGAGTTCAAGGATTGTCATACTCATTTTAGAATTTCATGAAACCAGGACTGGTTCACCAGTTTTCTCGTTAAATTGGAAGATCAACTAGTTTTCATCAGTTTTTTAGACATGCAGTTCTTGGGATGTGATTGAACCAGCAAGGGCCCCAGGTTATGGTTCAATTGGTCCAACCGACTGGTCTAGTCTAGTTTTCTAAACACTGAAGCTCCTTTTCCTGTTCTAGAACAAAAAAGATATGAAGGGCAAATTTGGAAAATAAATCAATTGTAGAAAAGAATTTGGAAGGGTTTAGGGTAATGATTCATATGAAGATAAAATTTTGGAAAATGAACATTTTTTTTTTGTCAAAAGTACATGCATGGGTACTTTGGGCATTTTAATGCCTCTTTTTAGAGGATTCTATTAGGAGTCCACTTGCAACTATGTTAAAAAGTTCAAGGGAGGTGATTGCAATTACCAAACTTCAAAGGAGGTTTTAGCAATTTACCCTAATAATAATAACTAATAGTGAAAATATTGAAATAATAAACAAATGATATAAAAAATAAAATATAAATAAGATAATAAAAGATAAAAAAAGGGGAAACTAGGGATTAAACGCAACCCTTTAGCCAAATCTTACACAAAACCACCATTTTATCAAAAGCCCAATCTTTAGGTTTGAATTTATTTGTTAACAATAATAAACAAATGATATAAAAAAGGTTGTTAATGATTGTGAAAATTACCTTTCCCATTCCCAAATCCATTTAACATTTCATTTTTTATAACTGATTCCATAACTTACTTTATTTAATTATCTTTACCTCATAATTAATTCAATTAATTCCATTTAAATATATTTAAAACCAGTATATTGAGATATTAATTAAAAGGATTTGAACCTAGGTTGCTTAAAACATAAGTATTTTAACCACTGCACCACATACGCATTAAACTAGCATTGACAAGAAACCATATTATATGCATGAGCATTAAAGTATAGAAAATATTCATTGTATCTATACATATCCAAAATCCAAATACATTTCTTTTAACTACATCATCAATATTCTTTACATTTTTCAATATTTGAACCTTGCAACCAATTTTATATCACATAAGTAAAATGTGATGCCCCTCTTTCAAAGATTATAACATAATCATTCGGTTCAGTTTCGGTCATACCTATCCCAAAATACATAATCATTCTATTATAACATTACATATTATCACAATGACTTTCAAAGATTTACATTCCTGAATTCCAAAACAATTCACAAGCTAATGAATGCATTGTGTCCCCAAAATTGCATAATTATTTTCATACAGACCACATTTTTGCATCACTGTTTTCACAAGAGTTTCCAAGAAAAATAATAATTTTTTGTAAAATTCCATATGCATATGCCATCAATGTTGCAGCCTATTCAGCAATCCCCACCCCCAAAAGCCCTGGCATTACACAAAAAGACCTGATAACTCCAATGGGTTACGTGATTCCAAGAATTGCACAAAGGCTGGAAAGCCAAACCAATGACTCTCTGGAAAAGCTTGTAATTCGTTAGATGGTAGTTGTCAATTATATTGCTTCTGATTGCATTTTCTTCATTGATGAACTATTTACATTAAATAAATACTCCTGCATTTCAGACTTATAATACTAGTTTCTTGACTTAATATTTGTCTGTCACTCTATGCTTCAATTCATAGAGTCTTGATGCTCGCTAAGCCTGGTCCCCAGGCTGATCTTAGCTTGCCCCAATCTAACTTCTTCCCAGCCTAACCAATCTATCACCCCAGATTAATTAGGGTTGAGCAAGAAAAACCGAAAAACCTAATTGAATAAAAAAATCGACTAAATCTGAATCAGTCAATTCGGTTTAATTTCGATTAATCAATATAAAAAATCATATTTTATATATATTTTTAGTTTTTATTATATATTTATATATTTTTTATAATATATATTATAAATATAAGAAATCAAAAAATCAACAATTAACCGATCAGCTTCAATTCAGTTTTGATTACTGATTTTTCAAAAACCAGTAATGTCGGTTCGGTTTCAAAAATAAGCCCACGACTGAACCGGGAGCTTCCTAAGGGGATGTTTGGAACCGTGGCTGTTTTTCAAAAAAACGGTGCCATGTCGGATCCACATAGGTGTTTCATAAAACACCCATGTATCTCACTGTTTGGTTCAGTCGATTATTAAAAAATCGGACATGCCTCAAAAATCGGGACCCCACCAATGCATTTCATGCATCGGTGAACCGTTTCCCCCAACAGTTGACTGATGTACATCCTATGTGGTGCTTACCTGTCAGCACATACATGAAAAACGGTGATGAAAATCACCATACCAAACAGTATAATGTTGCTCACTGCCTACATAGCAGAAGCGTTTTTATTCTTTGTGAAAAACGGATCTTAAAAGCATGGACGTTTTTTCTTGAAAATCAGTCCCAAAAAATGACAACGCTTCCGATCACTATGTAAGTTTAACGTCTCCCGAGCCTGACCTCACGCTCAATTTGTGACCCCTAATATTATATTACAAGATTTTCGATTTATAAAGCTAAAAGAAATTAATGGTGTTATGAAAGATTGACAATTAACCAAGTATTCTATAATTTTGTTGCACTTTCTATGATGTTTGTACTGATACGACGTATACTGACTGACTCCGCTGTTTTGGCATGCTTCAGCTCATAATAGCTTAGACGGTGAATCCTTAATACACCGTTTGTACATAATATCCTCTTGACTACGATTCACGGCACCCACATAACCAAGTCCATAGAGACAGACCACTTTTCCGCCCAAAACACTATGGGCCGGCATCACTACCTCTGTCTCGATAACCGTCAGGATCAGCAGTTCCTGCGCCAAATCTGAATTTGCTAGAGATACTGCCAAAATTAAACTGTTAGTTAGAGTGTTTGATGTACGATAGTATCTTTTTTATAATTCTTATTCTGCTTCAATAACATCTGGCTGGTTACCAATTGGAACCTTTGTTATTCTAGGTTTAAGTCATTAATCTTCTTGATGTCGTGCGATCTGGAAGCTCTTTCATGTTTGATGATTCAAATTCTAATTTAGATCTTTTTTGGTCAGGGCCGAGAGCTGAAATGTGGTCGAGTTGATATGTACTATAAAAAGAAGAGGATTAGAGTGCCCGGGTGTCTTTACCCGGGGAGGCACTCCGATGCTTAAATTAAAGAGGTCTTTGCGAAATCTTTAAGAGATTAAGAGATCTAGAGAGTGTATAATCATGCGTACCTTTTCAGGTAGAAATGATTGCTTTTTATAGGCATCAGTGATCAGAGCCCTCTTGTAGCAGGTCTGAGCTTCTCGTGAAAACATTTTCGATTCGTTCGGGTACGTTAATGTACGGTTGTGAGATCCGCGCAAGGGTTAAGATCTACCCGAATAACTCGGAAGCGTGCGATGCAGTAGGCCGGTCTAATGGTCGAGATATTTAGCGCTCCGGGAATCTCGACTTGGTAACTTACTGTTGAAACAGGACAGCGGGCTATTCCTCGCAAGTCGCCATGAGTCCTTACAGCTCGGTCGATCTCTAGGGTAGGTCGCCACAATCTTACGAGAGCCCCTAGATCGGTCTTGCCAAGGTGGAGGTCGCCCTAGGCGAGGTGCTCCAAGTTGACTTGCCAAGCTAGTTTTCTTACTCAACGACGACCTTTCAGTTGAAGGCACGTGTCATAACATGATTGATCAGACCATTTTACCCCTCATCAATTGCCCCCACTCTCGAGCTGACGTTAGCTCAGCAAAGGGAGTAGCTCTTAATACGGGTATTTGGTCCAATTGGTTTGTTCTTTCTTGACCTAGGCCGAGGTAGAGCTGATCCGCAGTAGATTTCAAATTTCAAACTCCAAGGAAGGGCGCTTTCCGCGAAAATTTGAAAAGAGGTGCACAGATTTCAAATTCAAAAGGAGGTGTGAACTAATGACACACTAATTTTCAAATTAAAAAAGGAACGCGCTCTTAAAGCACGTGAATTTTTAATTTGAATTTTTCCACGCATGCTGCTAGCCGTGGATTTCTCTGTAGGTGCATCTCGATCATTCGTCGTTTCTCTAGTTAGGTTATAAATAAGGGGCCCCCAATTGCACTATTTCTTTTTTGGAGACTTTTAGGGCGGTGTTTGACTAGTGGAGGTCGTAGTCCGAGCCTTGCTTTTCGTCTGCCCTTTGACGAGGTTTTTTCGTCATTGACCTTCTTAACCTTTTCCGGTGAGTATTTCTATCACTTCCAATGTCTCATAGGCCATTTGACGATAATTTGCCTGATCAAAGGTCAGAGGATGAGGCGAGCACCTCAGGAGAGGA